TCATATTCACCCACTCTGCGTCAATAACAAAATTCTCCAAACCATTTTGTACAAAACAATTCAAAAAATTGGACATGTCATTCTTTGACTCTTCTCCAACAACATCCCACAAATCACATGCTTAATTTGAGGTATGAAGTCATGACGATTCTCATTCTTTTGTAATTGAAGAATATCATCTTCTCACTAAGAAAATACTTTTTTTTTTTCTCCTCCTCATCATCATCAGGGAGAAACATGTTCTTCTCAAAATGGTGAACCTTCTAGGATTAATTTCGTCAGGCCTTCAAGATCATTTAGGCTCTAATACCACTTTGTTGGCTTTTGCTTTGATACTACTTTGTCAGAAATAAGTGGGCTAGCTGAACAAATACAACTTAATATAATTTTGGAAGAGAAATGGAGGAAGAAATATATTATTTCACTTAATCCCAACTTATTCTCCTTTATTCCATCTCATTCACATATAACATTAGATAGAGTACATGATTATATAGGCCTTGAGAACACACACACACACACACACATATATATATATATATATATATATATATATATATATAAGATCGTCGACTCACAAAATGATCTAGCCATCCGGAACAGGATCTGGTAATCTTGTGCTCGGAAGAGAAATGACTGGTTTCGGCCTGCCTTGGCCTCATCAGGGGAACGGCTCCAGTTCCCGACCAGTGTTGCAGAAGAAACGAAAGTCACGGGGCTGGCACCCAAGTAAGAACAGTCTGGTCTGGGCTCGCACCCATCCATACTATCCCGCCTCGGAATTTTTCCTCGGACCCAAACCCATTCCCTCCGCAAGACGCTGAAGGAAGGGAGCATCCCCTTTATAGGATGCGGCAGGTTACATCAAGAAAAAGCTTTCGCCACGTGGGTAAAAATTGTTTGTCGTTTTTCTCCACCGACAGCAAAAAGCATCTGAAAAAGACAGATGCTCTGCCGACATCTTCTTTGCTCTGTCATCATATAGATGATGGATGTGACAAGAGCAACCGTCACGCCTGACATCAGCATCAATGAAGCATTCATCTATCCGGCTACCTCGTGGTCTGTCTGATTTCATTCCCTGCAGTCATCCGTTCATGCCGTCCCGCTCAGGCCTCACTGGGGCTTACTGTTTAGCTCAGGTCTTACTGTTTGGATCGTCAGACAGGAAAAAAATCGCTGACTCAACCACTTTCTCGGCAACCATAAAACTCATCATCTTCACAGCTGAAATGGGCGTTGACTGATCGCCACTTGGCTCTGATACCAAAAAAGGAAGCGCACGATAACTTAAAACAAGTTAAACATTAACTTATATAAGGGCGGTGTATAACCGACCAAGTGTATATATATAACCGAGTAAAATAATTAAGGCGGTATATTACCGACCAAGATATATATATATATAGAACAAGATAAATAACTGAATATTAAACTGATATTGAAATCAGAAAGTAATTACAAAAGATTACTGAAATAAACTTACAAATTAATGTAACTGATTGTCTGAAGAATACAGCATATTGGTGATGTATTACACTCAGAAGGGATAAATAAACAAGAACTGAATATTATATATATATATATATATATATATATATATATATATATATCAATTACATATAAATGTTCATAACTCTCATTTCTCCCACTAACACAATTTTTAATAGGCATAATTCCCGCTAACATCGTATTTAGTAAGTAGGTTTAACTCTCATGACCCTTAATTTTATATAATCTTCACCATCACATTAACTCTCATATAATTAAGACAATTTACTACTCACTAACATGCTAAATGCACAATATTTGAAATGACTAATTAAATAATAAAATTCTAAAAGCAAGTTTATTTTCCAACAGATCGATTCGTACTGCCCTTTTACATAATGGTGTGCGTTTAAGTTCTCATTTACTTCCTTGTTTTATACATGCAAAACAATGCCGTTTGGAGAATGGGAGGTTTTAGGGACTGTGTTTTGAAGGAGTTGTTAAGGGTATGAAATATACTTAGGTTCTAGCCATAGACCTTTTTTTTCTGGGCTGGGTTGTTATTGCTCCCATTATGGGAAGTTATTGCTAGTTATTTTTAACAATCTATACATACATAATACATATATATGTGTATATTTGATAACCACTTCATATCTGCAAGTTACATGAGCGCCAAGTTATACATGAGCCCCCTGCTGGAGTAGGAATGTCAATTTTTACCGCCCCGCCGGGGCCCCGCCCAGTCCCACCCCATTAATAACGGATATAGGAACACTTTTTATACTATTAGAGCGGGCATGAATACAAATTTTGTACCCATCGCGGGTCATAGGGCGGGTAAGGGTTCAATATATATATCCTAGGGGCCCCGCCCCGCCCCGCTAAGCATATGATTATATTTAATATATATATATAATATTAATAACTTATTTTAGCGGCTTACCTAGTTACCCATCTCTTACAATCCTAATTTGGGATGTAAACTTAGTATTAAATTTGTTTTTGTTTTTGTTATGGTGGAAGTTGGAGCTTAGAACTTCTTGTGATTTGGTTGTATTAAATTTTTATTTTTGTTTATTATGTTCTCTAAATTATGTTATGTGCATGTTATTTTTTTATTTTTATTGGGATACATAATTTCATTTATATTGTGTCATTCACAGGCTTTGCACATTTAAATAGTAAGAGCTTAAGTTCCAAAAAGTGGGAGAAAAAAATTTGTTAACGGGGCGGGCACGAGGGCATAGTATTTCCTAATGGGGCGGGGCTGGACATGAAAATTCAACCCGTCGCGAGTCTCGGGGCGGGCATGGACTTGACAAAAATTAAAAAGGGAGGGCGGGATTTAGGGAAACCCTCTCCAAACCCACCCCGTTGCCATCCCTATGCTGGAGGGAATGTCTAGTCTCTGGACATTTATACCTATTTCAAATGTCAAATTTAATTCCCATGACATTTTTAAAAAGTTATTGGAAGTTTTTAATAAGTTATTAACAAATTCTTAAAAAATTAATTCTCAAAATGTTAACATACAATAAATTAAGATTTATCAAAATAAGTTGAAAATAAAAAATTAAAAGGTTTTGAGATAAAAATTAAATGGAGTTGAGATAAAGATTAAATTGTGTTGAAAACAAGATTAAAAATGTTGAGAATAAGATTAAAAGGTATTTAGATAAATATTAGAAGTGTTGAGAACAACATCAAAACGTGTTAGGGAAAAGATTAAAGTTGTTGAGAACAAAGTTAAAACGCGTTGAGGTAAAGATTGAAGGTGTTAGTAATAATATTAAAAGGTGTTGAGAACAAGATTAAATAGCGTTGAGATAAAGATTAAAACGCGTTGAGGTAAAGATTAAAAGTGTTGAGAACAACATTAAAATATATTGCGAATAAGATTAAAATATATTTAGGTAAATATTAGAAGTGTTGAGAACAACATCAAGGGTGTTGGGAACAAGATTAAAATTGTTGAAAACAAAATTAAAACGCGTTGAGATAAATATTAAATGTGTTGATAACAAGATTAAAAGGTATTGATAATAAGATTAAATTGCATTGAGATAAAGATTAAAATACGTTGAGATAAAGATTAAATGTGTTGAGAACAAAAATAAAATATGTTGAAATAAAAGGTGTTGGTAACAATATTAAAAGGTGTTGAGAACAAGATTAAAAAGCGTTGAGATAAATATTAAAACGCGTTGAGGTAAAAATTAAAGGTGTTGAGAACAACATTAAAATATATTGCGAATAAGATTAAGATATATTTAGGTAAATATTAGAAGTGTTGAGAACAACATCAAGGGTGTTGGGAACAAGATTAAAATTGTTGAAAACAAAATTAAAACGCGTTGAGATAAAGATTAAATGTGTTGATAACAAGATTAAAAGGTGTTGATAACAAGATTGAATTGCGTTGAGATAAAGATTAAAATGCGTTGAGATAAAGATTAAATGTGTTGAGAACAAGAATAAAATATGTTGAGAATAAGATTAAAAAGTGTTTAGATGAAGATTAGAAGTGTTGAGAACAATATTAAAAAGTTGTTAAAAAGAAGATTAAAATTGTTGAGAACAAAATTAAAATACGTTGAAGTAAAGATTAAAGGTGAGAACAAGATAAAAAAAAAGTGTTGAGATAAAGATTAAAAGATTTTGAGAAAAAAAATTCAAAGGTGGTGAGCTAAAGATTAAAGGTGTTGACAATAAAACTAAAACTGTTGAAGATAAAGATTAAAAATTTATAAATCACTTTAATTAAGTTTGCAGTATAACATTTTTAAATGTTCTATTTTAATTTTATGTCAATAAGGTTCTCTTAGATGAACTTAAGTTTATCTTTGTTTGAGAAAAAATAAAATAAAATAATTTATATAGTTCTATTTTAGTTTTATTTCAATAACATTTTTAAATAATGTATTTTACTGCAATTATTTTTTAATATTATTCCCAACAATTTTAATCTAATTCTTAATATCTTTTTAAAATAAAAATAAAATAGAACATTTAAAAACATTATTAAAATAAAACTAAAATAGAAGATATTGATCCAATAGGTTTAATTATGTTCAATTTTAGTTATTTATCATCTGATGCTAGAAGTGCGTGTTTGATGTCTTCTAGTTTTGAAATTTGTCTCATAAATATTTTTTCATCTCCGTCCCAATTGCACCACCAGGATCAATAGAGCATGGGTAAGGGATATATAAATAGGTTGTTTCTTAACAAATTATATGGATATTAAGGAATGTTTTATCGTTTTATATTTTGAATTTTTTTTTTTTTTATTAATTTACCATTAACGCCCCGATAGTCTGACGTGGGTAATCTGTCGGAGTTGTCAATGACACCATTTGGGAACAACGTCGTGTAAGGCAGTATAATAAACCGCCGGAGAGTTTTTTAGGGTTCATCAGGAAAGAGGGTTTTAGGGTAGGAGATCCAAATTTGCGACGAGATTCTATCTGAAGAACAGAACAGGTGAGTCCCTTCCATCATTATCCATGTTTAATTTCATATTCAAAACTTTGCCTTATTTGAGGTGTGTGGTTGTATCAACGTCACCACCTCAGAAACTGCATTTTCTTCAACACTACCCATTATCATCATCATCTCTCAAATCCGTATCTGGCACTTCAAATCAACACTCATTCACAGTCGATTACCTTATCAAATCATGTGGGTTTCCTCCGGAAAAGGCTCTCTCAGCCTCCAAGTACATGAACTTCGAAACCCCAGACAAACCAAACCTTGTTCTCACATTCTTCAGCAACCATGGTTTCACCGAAACCCAGATCTCAGTTATTATGAGAAAACTCCCATTGATACTCTGGTCCGATCCCCTGAAAACCCTTTTGCCGAAAATCGAATTTTTCCACTCTAAAGGCGTTTCAACCCAAGACATTGCCAAAATACTGACTGCAAGACCAGAAATTTTGAAAACAAGTTTGGAAAATAAAATAATCCCATCATACAATTTCTTCAAGAAGTTGCTCAAGTCTGAAGAAAAAACAATTGCAGCTATAAGACGCTTTGCTGACCTGTTGTTGCATGATGTTCACATATATGCGGCACCCAATATTGAAGCTATGAGAGAAACCGGTGTGCCCGAATCCAATATTGTGGCATTCTTGACGAATCAACCTAGAGCTTTCATGACTAGTAAGGATAGGTTTAAGGAGATTGTGGAGGAAGTAAAGAAAATGGGTTTTAACCCTGTGAGGAGGACCTTTTTTTTAGCAGTTCAGGCACTGAGGGCAATGAGTAAATCAACTTGGGAAAAGAAGGTGGAGGTTTATAAGAAGTGGGGTTTGTCTGAAGAGGAGATTTTGGTGGCTTTTCAGAAGCATCCAGGGTGTATGTTGGCATCAGAGGATAAGATTATGGGGTTAATGAATTTTTTTGTCAATAAAATGGGTTGGGAGTCTTCGTTTTTTGCGAGGCGGCCAGTGCTTATTTGCTTGAGCATGGAGAGGAGGATCATTCCGAGGTGTTTGGTTTATCAAATTCTGTTGTCGAAAGGTTTGCTTAAGAAGAAATTTAGCTTGTATAAAATGTTGGAGTCTCCTGAAAGTTACTTCCTAAAGAATTATGTGAAAAACTACGAGGAAGAAGCTCCTGTGCTTTTGAAGTTATATCAGGAGAAGTTGAATCTTTCAATGTAACTAGGATATGTTGAAGAACAGAGTGGACTTTTTAAGGTCATACATCTCCGATTCCAACAAGGGCATTCATTAATTTCTGAGCAATTTTGAGATCTCTGTTTTAGTTCTGGCAAATAAAAAACTTGAAGCTCAACAACGTGGTGCGTTTAGGCTTGGTGTGATGTAACATTGTCTTTTTATCTGGGAGATCAACCTAGGTGATCTTGGTTTTGTTTGACATACAATTTTCGAACTAGTTCAAGTTGGTAAATTAATGATTTTGATTTTCAGTTGTAATGATGCGAATATCTAACTCAGTGTTGTATTCTTTTATCCAGCAACTGTTTTCTCCCTCTTTCGTTTAGAGCATAAATAAACGAGATTATATAACATTGTCATCCTTATGCAAGTGTTACATTGTTGGTTCAATTCATCATTCAGTCTATCTACCATCTTCCTCCCATTCTATATTGAGAAATTTCTTTAAGTTTGGCTATGATGTTTAGTTTGTCCAGGATGAATTCAGGTTTACACTCTTTTCTTTTGCTCGGTGGTGTTGATAGCACATATACTATAGGATGCTCACCTTGGTGCTATTGCATCAGATACTCCAATAACAAATATATTTTTCCCCATTATTGATGATGATTAGACCATAAAACAAGTTTCTATTCTTTCTGGTGATCGAGTATGAAGTTGGAATGGAGAAGAAAGTGAAGATAGCGTTAATAGATCAGCACGGAGAATCATCAACTGTTATCCAATGTGTTCCCTTCACCCCTGAACTCATGAGGGTTTTCTATAATATTAATATCATTGAAAGGCTTTATAAAACCCTTTAAACGAAGATGTAACAGAAGGATAACATTGATTTGGTACACTTCATTAGAGAACTGCTTCCCGATCAGACTGCCCGAAACAAAATTGTCTAATTCAAAGGCCATTTTCTTATCAATGGATGCCTTAGCATTTTCGTAATTGCTGTGCTTTGGCTTTAACATTATCCTACCTTTCTACCCTGGGTGGTGGTTGCTGTCATTATGGGAAGTTCTTGCTAAGTAGTCTTTAACAATATATACACACATAATACATATTATGTGCGTGTTTGATAACCACTTTACCATGCACAATGATATCAATGACTGGGAAATGGTCTTGGGATGGAGGTTTGGGAAGTCTTGGAATCGGGATGCAAGCCAAGTTATGTATGAACCGCGGCTAGAGACCTATTTCACATGTCAAAGTTTAATTTCCATGACATTTAAGGCACAAAACATGTCTTCCTTATAAAACAATTAAACTATTGAAATTGAACATATACCAGGGCATTGCCTAAAAGTGAAATTTAATGAAATGTCATACATTGAATCATTAAAATATTACAATTCATAATTCAAATTTTTGAGGAAACAAATTATAATCCCATCCGAAAAATACTGGAATAAATGCACTACAGTGAAATTCACCATGGGAATAAAATGCATTACAACCAGAAGAGTAGGTTGCACAAAACCAGAAGGATTTGCCTGCCATTCCACACAGGAAGTGAATTCTGAAGGAAAACCCAAGACATCCATGGAACTCAACGGAACCATGCCTATTTCCCATAGGCGTCACCTATTTTGCAGAATCAAACAAAAATTCATGGTAATCCTTAGGTTGTACCTCCCTGATACAAATCGTTATGACCAAAATTCAACCCAAATCACAATTTCAACTTCTTTTTGGGCTTTCTCACTGTAGCATTTCCAGGATCCGCCAACAACTGCAACAGAAAAAAACTTCCAGATTGAACAAAGGTCACAGTATGAATATAACAAGTGAATGAATTAAATACCATCAAGAGCAAAATCACCTTTTGTTTGTTTTTCTTTTTATCCTTCTTCTTCTTCCTCTTCTTCTTCTTCTGTTTCTTCGACGCGGGCTTTTCCACTCTCTCTTCTCCAGAAGAACACTGTCAAATTCGCAACCACTTAAGATCAAGTTAGGGCAGACAAGAACAGAACACGAGAAGCTTTCCAAGAACAACAGATTACAAAAATGCAAAGTGAACTGGTGAAGGCACCTCAGAGTCACCAAACGAATCTACATGTCGAATTGTTCTCCCTGAATTCGAAGAAGTCCCACCTAATATAAAAGAAAATCAGAAACCAACTTCAATGCAACAGCTTCTTTATCAAAGGCTTACTCTGATTTCTTACTTCAGTGAAACATGAAGCACTCCTATCAAATCTCAGTCATGCAAGCAGCAAAGACAGACATGAATCATATATATGTGGGTTCATGCAGGCACACATTCAAAATAAAAGCTCCCATCAAGGACCACCTCACCCAAAGAGAAGGATTTTGAAGTACTAAATTCATCTATCCTGGCTACATGAAATCCTTATCATCATCACGATGTAACTGAAAAAGTTCTTACTCAGATGAAATTATAAAAATTATCTTAAACAATAATGAGATTCTCTCATGGATTTTGCTTCAAACTAACCGGACTGACCATTCTTACTGTATGAACTACACAGAATGAAGCACTTCCCACCATACCCAGCCCAAAAGTCCACCAAATTTGTAAAGAAGATAATCAACTATAAAAAGAAAATGCTTTCATCAAAACCAATAATTTGCAACTCCCCATAGATCAATTAAGAAGTGAAATCAGAAAGTAAGAACAGAAGGACTGAAAATATGAAAAGAAGAAGGGGGAAAAAGAAAAAAAAAAAACTTGGGGATCAAACACTGAATCTCCATAGGACAATGCATTACTTATTTTTTCACAAGGGAAGCAAATCATAAATTTATTGAACCATCACCTATTTTTTCACAAGGGAAACAACTCATAAATTTATCGAACAATAAAATTCTTCAATCTAAAGTTAAAAGATGCAAAGCCTTGCCCCTGCACTGCTTTGCTAGTCATTTCTTAAAACATAACCTACTCCTCATTGTCAATCCATGAGATCAAAATTCTAACAAGTTCATTAACCGAGTAATCTAAGGTATCAACTTGTTTAATCAAAACCCAATAGCATGGCAACCAGAAACCAATGCCTGCATGGTATGAAAACAAAGGCCTTTTATTGTCTTTATGCAGCCCTAATTGTAACAGTTCTTTAACAGTGTCTGTATTCCTTTTTATTCCTTTGGTGTGCTCATGTATCTATATGGATGTGCACTCAAACAGAAGTTGCAGAAACAATGCAAGATAGATAGTAAATTCACAATCTACAAATTATGAACCGCACAAACTTTACTGGAAATGAGGGCATTGAGTGTCCAAAACCATAAGTAGGTCCACTAAACACGGCATAAAACAGAACAAATGCACCATTATAAATGGAATTGCATGAAACACTAGTTATTACTTGCATTTACTGTATCTTTTGCATTTTTCACTGCCAATTCAAGAATATCGGGATTTATTGAAGCCAGCCCATTGGGATCCTGGAGTTTTCGTTCAAGGAATTTAGCCAAAGCAGCAGCCTTGTTTGTCGTCAACGGTCCACCAGGGTGAGCCAACCTAACAAAAAGCACTGTGCATCAACTTCAAAATGGAACTCCTAAGGCTCCTTAGAAAATAGAACAAAACTTGTAATGGTGGAAGCACAAAGGAGCATCAAATGTTATGCATATCTTACAAATAACAAACATTCTAACTTCTAAGAAATCTTTTTTAGTGTATTCAAGAGACATTTATCAATAATTTGAGGGCTTTTAGTGTGTTTACAACCATTGACTAATGACTTGCATTATTAGACATTGAAGTACCTCGTAGATGACTGATAATATTCATAATTAAATGCCGATATATATTTTGTGTGTGTGTTTTGCTCAGTATGGACAGATGTAAGAGAGAGGAAGCAGCAATTCGCTACACACACATACACACAGTTATATAGATGATATATAATTCATTCTCGTTATTACTGCCTAATGTTCTCAATTTTAGCAGGAACATGACTGTGGGTATCGTAGAGAATGAACTAAGATGAGTCTAGAACATAGTTACGATAAATTATGAACTACCCAGAAACAACAAAAGTTTGCCCTATTCAATTAACTGCAATATTTTGTTATTAAATTATATATAGAAGACATACAGATGTTTATTGTCTATACATTAACATATACATACAATACACAATAAGTGTGTGAAGGAAACATATATACGAACCTGGGTTGAGATCGGGAGGGAAGCGGTCTGGATGGAAGCGGAGCGAATTTGCTTCCACGAAGAGCCCTTCTTTCCTCCTCTGTTAGTCCATCCATCTCTCTCTCTCTCTCTCTCTCTCCTAAACCCCAAACAGGAAAAGAAGGGAAAAGAAGAAAAGAAGCCCAATTTCGTATAAATACGACGCTGATTTGCGCATTTTTATTTATTTTGACTCGTTTCACCGGTGTTTGAAGCCGACGACGGACCAGCGGTATGGCCCTTTCTTTTTTTTTTGTTTTACATAAGCTCGTTAGATTCAATGTTTCCGTATTCAACACTATTTGGTAACTTTAAACTTATTACAAGATTTTTAGAAGCAATTTAGAAAGAAAAAGAAAAAAAAAATTCTTTCTGAACAGTATTTTGCTATAATATGGAAACAAACAAAATTATCATTTTGATGCTTCCGATTTTTGTTTCAATTTTGGAAACGCTTTGATACTATTCAAATGATAGCAAATGTTACCAATCGTGATTTTATTTTGTTACAATTACTGACAAAAATAAAAAAACACCAAAAACAAAAGCATTAGCCAAAAAGATAAGAAACAGAAAAAAGAAGATGAAAAGGCTGCATCAGCCTCAAGGGCGGATAAGCCAACTGGACCAGATCGGCCAATGACGATCACAATGAGTGATGGCTTATTTATTGGCTTTGTTAATTTTTTTTTGAAAAGTGGCTTTGTTAATTTTCATTCCATGAGTTATATACAATTACTAGCATGGAAATATATATATATATATATATACACACACACTTGTCTTGAGGTAAATATTACATTTTGCTCAATAACCAATCAAATACATTTCTTCTTTTAATAATAATTTTCCCATATCTCACTAATATTTTAATTAATTTTAAAAATATAATAATAATATTGTTGTCTTAGATTAGATGTCTATGAAAAATATTGGAGATTTTGTTGAAAAGATATAAAGTTAAATATTGAGAAATAATTTGTATATTCAGGGAATAAAAAAAAAAAGAGTAGTGATACTTAAGAATTTATTGCAGTTTGCAAGAGTTAATGATTTTTAATTGATTATTTATGCACAATTTCCTACAACAAATGAATATCATTTTCTAAAAAAAATTAATAATTTTTATTGACTTACTTTATTTACCAAATAAAGGTCGAGAGTAGTGTCCGCATTGTCTTTTTTCTTTTCTTTTTAAAAAATTAAAAATAAAAACAAACCGTTTCTAAAAATATACTGTGAATTTGAGGTACAAATCACAATCTTCATATTACTATAGTAATTTTTTCATCAGTTACTATAGGATTGAAGATATTTGTAGAGAATACACGACCCATTCTATAAGATAAGGAGCCAAACATGTTGAGCAGGTGCAGACTAGCTTGTTCTTGATAGCAAAAGTAACGTGCCCACAAAATACACCATTTTGAGCGAAGCAATATGTTCTAGGTTTTCTTTAAATGTCAAAATTCAATACTTTAATCATTAATTTTTCAAATGGTTCCATTCCTTAAGATTACGATTAAAAGCATAGATACTGCATTATATCTACATAAAGGTTATGATATGGAGTCCAAAATATGTGTGTTAATATCGTATCATAACACCCCCACATAAAATTATTCAGACTCCCTATCATTACTCCTAAATAAATTCAAACAACCAAGCTAAGATCCACCAAGAAGAATATTACCACATGAATAGCCAATGATTGCCGAATGTAGTACCTACTGGACAAAGTGTTCAGTTGTTGAATGTCATCCCATTTTGCTTCTTTTTTTTTCTTCATTATTCGGCTTTTCTATCAGATACAGCATAGAACTGATAACAGGTCTTTTGCTGCTCACAAAAATTGCTGCTGTACTGGCACCACAGCTTAGTTGATAATAATTTGGATAAAGGGAAGGTGAACAGACCAGAAAGAACCAAATCCTTAAAATTTACATGCCTCTTTCTCTTAGCCTAATATCCTAAAAACACCAGGCCCTGAACCAGGAGGCCAATCCAATTGTATAAATGGGGAGAATTTTGAGATCAAGTCACCATGAGACATGAAGCTTTTCCAGGGAGGGTACAGCAATGATGGGTGAGGAAAAACACACTGCATACAATGTCGCCAGAGGGACACCTGTCGCGCCATGCTCCCACTAACCAAGCAAGAACATGAAAATGTCACTCAGCGTAACAATGCCTTCTACACGCTTGCTTCCAGCCTCCACAACAATAAGCCTCCTGACCCCTGAGAACGAATCCACACAAACAGATATTGAGGAGGGTATTCATTCAATAAAACAAAAGGTGTGAAGCAAAATCTACACTAGCATACACAAGAACCAAGTAACGGTTAAATGTAATCTAGGGTATCATGTATTCCTCCAAGACAAATCAATCTCAGCACTCAGAAATATCCTATCCATTTATAAGCCCACGCAATATGACCAACCGATACAAGTTTCTGTCACACACAATAAACATCCATAATAACTGCCACTCCAAAAAAGGATATATATCGAACCATATTTAGGCCATCCAAATCCCTTTTCTTTAATAAGTTATAACTCACCACAGCTATATTACAACAGACACCTTATTATAATGAATTAATAAATAGCTACGGATGGTACAGAAACTTTCAGTAGCTACAAATTTACTGGAATGTTAGCGTAATGTAGGCATTAGCTTGACAATGAAAATGACATTTTTTGGAACATCATTATGAAAACATCCAAAGTTGAAAATTGAATTTGTGGGGCCTGCTAATCTATGTATAATAATTAATAAACAAGGGAGAAGTGTGCCCATGCTGTTAGTGTCAGTGAGAAATATTATTAAAGAACTTGAGAGATTGGGATGAGTAACTGTGCCAACTTGCTGGAAGTGGGTATCCCAAAAAACAAAAAAAATTAAAGATAAAAAAATATTGAAAATTCATTGTACCAATTTGGAAAATAATGTATTGTTATCAGCAACTTAATCTTGTTGTGAAACAGAGATTTACAAAACCATCTCCAAACAACTACTTGTCCTGAAAACCAAATAAATCCTCTGGGTATATCAAATCCTGGAAGAAAGGGTGGCCAAGCGCAGCTCCTAATCTTATATCATGCATTAACCAGTATTATAAAAGTGACAAACCCACTTCTGGTCCCACTACAGCAAGGTCATAGAAAAGGGAGATTCCAGACCAACCTATAACCTTTGATATTTCACAAAGTGACTGCTCTAAGGCTCAAACTCGCACCAAGGGCACTGATGTTCATGCGTTAAACCGCTGAACTACGCAACAACCCTTGCATTTGTCAGTATTATAATAATGTTAAATGCTTTGCTTAACAATGATAACAAACTCTTCAAAATTTTACTCGTGGTTAAAATTGGAAGCACGTGTTAAAAAAGTAAAGAGAATGAAAATAACCTGGTTTTGCTAATCGCTCCATTACTTTATGCACTGTATCAGAGCGCAAACACATGTGGCATCTCTGACTGCTGAACCCATAAGTAGAATATGGTTCTTGTCCAAGCTGTAATGCCTACATTTTTTTCCCAAACAAGAACAAAAGGAATAAGAAGAAAACAAATGAAATAATTAGAGAATGCAATAATGTATAACAAAATAAGTTATAACTAAAAACTGTAATAACATTTTTTCAATAATTAGGAAATTTTTCCACAAAAACTTTGTTACTCATCCAAATTCTAAAATTCAAATGAATCATTCAGGGTTCAAGATAAGTTCTTGGTTTGTGAATACTGCGTCTAAAATAACCCCCAACTAGGTCCAGGGTATGGGACCCCTCCATGGTCCTGCCTAAAATTCAAAGGCCCCAGGCAAAGTTTTCTTTCAACACACATCTTCCTCTGGGCTCTGGTTGTATGGTCCAATTTGGCTATAAAAGCAACATTTGTTTTTAGTACATTATGTTACACATTCACTTGTATGGTACCAACTTATCTCTCTCATCACTTTCGGCTAAGACTTCGTCACAGCCTAACTACCAAGCACGTGATAATCTCTCGCCTCTTAAAAAAAACCTTTTAAGTTATGCCTAAGCCACTGTAGCACAGTGACTAAGGGCATTCACAAACTTAAGAGGGAGGGGTTGGGTTGGTTACATTCTCTCAAAAATGGCCCTCTATATATATATATATCCCACATTTGTTTATACTAGCCATCAGAATACTATAGACCAAGCTCATAAAACCATATCCGGCAAAAGAAATCACCTAAGAAAATGTACAACTTAAAATCTAAGCAAGTAAAAAACCAGAACGAAAATATATTCCTTCAGTGATCTAAATGTCTAAATTATAGACTGGAAGATAAAAGGATCAATTCCACTACAACAAGCCATAAAATCACAAGTAGCCATCCGAATGATAAAACTAATCTATAAGTTCTGAAATTTATGTTCAGAACCATTTAACAGATTATACTCGTATAAAACCAAAAGGATCCACTCAAACCCCTACAATTTTCAAGCATTATGACTTGACCCCAAAAAGAACACCACAGAAGCTCACAATCAAGGTATTCAGTTATGACTAACTGCACCCTAACAGAACCGGTTACCTCACACATGGAATGCATGTGTGTATAATACTTCAATATTCAAAGCCAGAGGCTCAATTCCTCCAATAAAATTATCATGCAACATCCTGCTTTCGTAAGTTCTGAAGTTTATTTTCAAAAGGCACAACCAATTTACACAGTATGCACGTTCAAGCATGCACTGCCAATGTGTTCAATCTTCTTATCCAGAGGCTCAATTCCTCCAATAAGGTTTATGATGCACCATCCCCCCATGCATTGCATCAATCGTCAGGTAATTACAGATGGTGTTACCAAGGAAAGTATTACCATTGTCCGTAACAGCAGAAGAACCAAAGGAACATTGAAGACACAGGAGAAGTGGATGTTGAAACATTGACAAATTTATCTATTTCAAATTTGTTATTGTTGGACATAATCATCAACTGTTTCAGCTAAATTACAACAATATCAATAACAAAACTAACAATTACCACCACAAACTTTCCCCCTCGTGATTGGAATAAACTCACAATCAAGATGACCATCCCAAGAAAAAAAGATGCATACAGCAAGGTATCCTTAGATCTCTGCAAGTTAATTCAGGCTTCATCTGCCTCAGGCAAAGTGGATTACTGTAATTATAAATCACTAGAGGACACGTTAACACGTTATGTCATTGCATTCTAATTACCACGTATTAACAAAAAAAAAAAAATTTTACTTGGCAACCAAAAATATTCAGCAAAAACAAATAGAACCACTGACCTGATGGATAGTCATTTCTTCAAGATTAATATGTGTATACACTTTATCCTTTGCCAAAGCTGTGATGTCACTGAAAGAGATAATGGTCACATCACTATTGATGATGGAAGGGTAACTGGCATCTGATTTTAAAATCTAGACACATATTGCACATTCCTTTAGATATATTATAGTAAATTAGAAAAAGAACTTACCTTCGAGAATATACATCAAGTAATGAATCATTGTCGTCAACTATTGGTATTGAACTAAACTGAGCTGAAAAGACACAGTTCAATAGCATAAGAATTATTTTTTATTTTTTTTTATAAAAAAAAAAAAAAAAAAGAAGATAGATGGAGATATATTGCTTATGCACCTGCTAAATGTGGATATATGACTAAACTTCTCGCCCAATCAAATCCCTATAACCCTCTTATTGGAAAATTCTTAAACTAACTAAATAAATTTGAGGAATGACTACTGAAAAACAAAAACAAGAGATGAAAGAAAATATAAACTAACACCCATGACATATATTCAACCCAAAAGCACAGTGGAAGTAAAAGAACTATAGCAAAGCAATCAAAAAAATATTTCCAAATTTTTAAGGTTCTAAATTAGTCAAATTCTTTCAAGACAAACAACTTTTATAACACAATTTAACTTTGCTGATAGTTCACAACAAAATCTTAAAATCTTTATAAAAAATATATACCAAACATATAAAATGTAAAGTAGAATCCTATATCTTCGAGGCTGACACAGGTAATTAATTAATAATTCTCCACAAAAAAAATAAATAAATTTACAACATCCATATAGATTCTTATCAGACAATTCATCTTCCTCTCTCTTAAGTAAACTTGACTTTTCATCTTCCTATGTAATTCTAACCAAAAGTTTAGAATTCCCAAGTGAGACATTTGACAACAAACACTAAATACTATAAAATAAATGTTATTCGTGGCAAAGAAAAGGATCAGCTTTGCCAATTTCAAGAAGAAGATTTTAAGGTTTTGTTTTATCAGTAACGTTTTTCCCATGTTCATAGGCTTCTTATCCTTCTCTCCCTTCTTTAACTTCACTTAAGTCATGTTTTTATATCCAATTTAATGACAAAAACTAATGGCTTCGTTGGGTTGCAGAATTCTGATAGCAAAAGCTAGTCGAATACATAATAGATCTTAAAATATTCCAAATTGCTTCAATCTAGAAGTGGTTTTGAGAATCATCTTCTGAGCAATAAGATAATAGAAGTGTTTTAGGGGGAAAAAAAAAAAAAAAAACGAAGGCACAAGAAATTATGCATGCCCGCTGCCATGGTGCTCTCTCTCTCTCCCCCCCTTACACACACAGACACTCACCTCATTTTGGTATATTGCAATTAACAATGCCCAACTTAGTGTCTTTCAATATTTGTTACATTTGATCATATACTCGAGAGATTTTGCAGGATTACATGTTGTATTGATTTTCTGAAACTTTGCAGGGACTGTTTATAAACACAAGTGCATTTCAAAATGTTATGGTAATTATAGCATTGTTAAACTATATTACTAAAATTTATTCATATAAAGGTGTATAATTTATTTTGTACGTTTATTTTGTTCAATGTCGGCTTGTATATAAATTATTCTATGGATTGCAAAGATTTATGGCTTATATCTTTAAATTACAAAAACTTGATTTCAAAATTATCAATGCAACGGTTGGCACTGCCCATGGATGTCAACAGGTATGGGGCTCTCTTAACTAATGGAAGCTTCTTAACAAAATAACTTGCGCCAATGAGGGACATTAGGAGACACAATGCAGATAGTTTGCCCAACAATTGGGCAACACAGCTCTCTTAACTAATGGAAGCTTCTTAACAAAATAACTTGCGCCTATGAGGGACATTAAGAGACACATAATGCAGATAGTTTGCCCAACAATTGAGCAACACGGCTCACTACATTCTCATAGTTTATGCCAAAAATCAAGTAATCTGCACACTTCTGTTTATAGAACACAATAGATGAGCAAATAAGAGTGGGGCCACAAAACAACCTCTAAGAAGGAGAAGATGTATGCCAAAACAAGGGAACCCAAACCTATGATTGGAGTCACAAAACAATGTCAGAACAACACCTGCAATTATCAATCAACGGTTCAATCCCAACTAAGGAGATTTACAACCTCATTCTTGAGCAAACATCTTTCTTATACACAAAACAAAAAAAAAAAAAGTGATCATTTCTATTGTGGCCAACCACAGAGAATATGCATCCAGATCAGCCAATTAAAAAGGGCAAGCCCCAGAAAAGAAAGCACAACACTTCAATTTACATGCACTTAAGTACGGTTTTTACAGCAAAGCTATAAACCCATCAAAAATGAGAGACCAAGAAAACAATTACGAGGAGCTTCAAAGAAATACTTGGACTCAAAATCATCAAGATTTAACTTTCAAGAAATAAGAACTTGACAAATAATTTCCTCTTGTGAAATAAAGCACACCTTGAACTAACAAACTCAATGCTGAATTAAGAGAGGCACTGGGTCTCAGCATCGCTAATGGCCGTTGATTTGGTTCTCCAATTCTCGGAACCCAGGTGCCCAAAGGAATTTCACAAATTGGTAGTTGGAGAATGGGCAATAAGCCAGAAGAATGTCTAAAATACCTGCAAATACCTGAAAATTAACAGATTTAGTTAGTAAGAAAACATCTATTGTTATTTAGGGAACTAACAAAAATCTTACATTTTAGTATTCCAAAAAGCAAGGCAAGATGTAATAGATGTGGAAATGAGAAATCCTCTGACGAAGAATGGATAACAGGAAACTAACAAAAGTCTTACATTTTAGTATTCCGGAAAGTGATGCAAGATGTAATAACTGCGGAAAAGAGCCCTCCTCTGAAGAAGTATGTATAACAGGAACTGTAGCCACCTCATTTTGCAAAATTTTTAAAGCAACATCTTTCAAATTCTCATCTGGTGCAGCCTACACAACCAACATTAAGTCAGTGGATAAGAGTTGTCAATACCAAATGCTACAAATAAGAAACTGCCATATTCAAAAAATAAGAAACAAAAACTTGAGAGAGAGAGAGAGAGAGAGAGCAAAAAATCAGTTCCAACCTGTTATAATAGAAACCAAAAGAAAAAGCAAAATCAATTGGCCCACCCTAAATTACTATATCAATCAGCAATTGCTAATTGTGCTTCCCAAACAGAAAAGGAAAACATTCCTGACATCAAACATAACTACATAATCACAACGTCAATGGCAGAGGAAATGAAACCCAATACTGATAGCAGCTAATTCATAGGAGTCCCACTAATAATTCATGCTTTGTTGAATCAATGCTTGGCATGTTCATACCTAAGGCTGCAATGAAAATGTCGCAAAGAACAATGGCAACTCTAACAAAAAATAACTGCCCAACCACTATAAACTATAAAGTGGTTGAAAAGGGAGCATGTTGACTTCTCGCAACACAAAGCTGTCAATTATGCTGAGCAAGTATCCAAAATTTATGCCCTTAATATTTTGACTGATCTAATAGTTTAAAGTAGCCAGTTTGATATTTTGACTGATATAATAGTTTAAAGTAGCCAATTCCAGTGCCCAAATTACATGCTAGGACCTAAAAAGGCCAAAATAAACACTCACATGTACAAGTCGTCTTGTTAATGTTCCCCCATGCCCACCGTTCTGTCTGTTAAGATATGATTTTGCTTCTTTCCAAGCAGATATAGTGTGCGCCTCAAGCTCTTCCTCTGTCAAATTGGATCCATGATTACCAAGCTGCAACACAGGTTATAATGCATCAGGTTAAGAAAATCTTATATCCACACGTTTGAACTTTACAAAATATATACAGTATGACGACAATCACAAAAAAGGTTTCTCTCTATCTATAACCCCTAAATTTATAAGCTTTTACACTCAAGTATACTTTTACAAGCAGATAAGTATATCCAGGTGATCATAATAAAATATAAAATCTACATTAGATACTGATGACAAAACAGCCCATTTCCACACATACCTCTCTTATAATCAAAATAAAATCCAATGCACTTAATACTCCAACAAACTTCCCCTTGAAGAAGTCCCAAAGAGGAGCCATCGGAATTCCCTGCAAATAGCTCAACTCAGACGATTGCATATAAAAGCTTGTTCTGAGAAATTTTAATTGCCCAAGAACATTACAAAGAAGATATGCACAATAATTGTGATTTCAAAGCATAGATGAACTTTCATAAAAGTAAGGTTGTTACAAAAGGGATCTTATGTTGGATTAATTAAGGGGTCCATAGGACTGGATCGTATAATCGGATTAAAGATCGTAAGATCCTAAAAATTTGTGTAACAAACATTACACTAGCTAAATTCATATATAATGAATTTTTATACAGATAGAGAACAAGTTTAAAGCACATGAGAAAAATAGAAGTACTATTGCAAACATATGGAACATTTGTCTATACACAAATACATCTAAGTAAATTTTGTGATGTAGCTTAGAAAGTTGAATCTTATGGACAATCGAAACAAATCCAAATGCGTGCTTGTATTCTAGTATATGATCTATCACTCATTCCCTCTTAAAGTGATCCAGTGAATACCATTAAGAATTTTTCAATGTCAAATTAGTTAATTTCAACAAACTTAGAAAGTCAAAAATAAACGAATGTAACTTGTCTTTGTATTGGGAACTTGAACTATTTCAGTTAGGTTCTTGAAATCAAAAATTAATTGATAACTAGATTAAACCAAATAAATAAGAGAATTGCACACTTTGCAACATGCGGCTTCATATTTTTATAATGGGTGTATATTTACGATTTCATGCATGATATACAATAGAAAAAGAAGTCAACAAAGATATTTTATTATAACGGATCTTCACAGTTTTTTTTTATCAGGAAAAAAAAAAATAGAAAGGAAGTAGACAGAGATATTTTATCTTGGTTTTTTCTGTACCTTCTTCGAGGTTGTGGTCTTTCATTATAGAAAAAATAGTGAAAGAGTGATACATAGGAAAATCGAGGATTAAGATGGAGATATGAAGTGTCCAATGATCAGAGGGAGAAAGAAAGATTAAGTTGGAACAGAATGATTAGAAATGTTGGACAGAGGAGGGCCCCTCCCCCTTCCTTTTCTAGCACCAAATAGCTCCATCACTGGTTTAGATCCTACTATTCACATTTCTCCTTATGAAATGTATGTCTTATAGTACCAAAATTACTTTTAAGAAAATAAACCTAAAATTTGTTACCACATAATCACTAAGTATCAATTGAATATGATGTAACAACCGACGTTATTGATAAAACGTTTGAAATCAATCCTAAGTGATCTTAAATGATCCTACAACGATCCTACCGCCTAGCAATTTTTCATATGATCTGGATCAATTTGGTAAGTTTGGATCGTAGGATCGTGCAATCCTGCGATCCAGATAGCAATTTTGATAACGATGAATAAAAGTCGCTTTGACGAATAACTGATGGATTACTGAACTACTGTGAAACATTACATCCACTGTGAAACATTACATTGCTGATCAGACCTTCAATAAGTCACAGAAAGCATGGAATAATGGGACTTCAAAGCTCACTAGAATAAGCAGAAGCTCCTCATTTCAACAACTTGATGCATTTTAAAGAATAAGTTAGTCATTGATTGCAGAAAGAAAAAGAACCAGCAGAATGATAAACAGGCAATGTTTTGTTCTTGCTTACATATTATTTTAATTATATACAAAAGATCAGACAATAATGCCCAATGGTTAAGGGAAAGTGCCCACTAAATGCCCTTTGTTATTGTAAATATATATATATATAGGTCAAGACATGGTCCCTATAAAAATTGTATTATAGGAAACCTCGAGCAAACTTTCAGATAACATCAAAACTCGAATACAAAAAGAAGGGATACCTGCTCATGCAGAATATGAAATGCCTGCTTTACAGGTAAATCAACGTCTAAGGCAATGACCTGTAATCCATACAGATCTAAATGAGAAAAGGCAGAAAGCAATTTGCAGCATTCATGTTCATATGATATTCCATATATAGACATGATAAGGAAAGTCAGGGGCGAGTCATTCAAACCTTGCCTGACTCAGGAAGCAATTCATAAGCCATGTGCGTAGATAGAAACGCACAAACACGGTGACGAGAGACCTGTAAATCAGCTTCAGAGATCCTTGCCAAGGCCTCGTGCAATGTACCATCTGAAACTCTGACCTGCGATATAGAGAAGAGATGATAACAGAACACATCAAAATAAAGCTGGCAATACTTGAGGCCCCACCCTCTTGCTTGGACAATGCATACATGGAGGGAAAAAAAAAAAGGGAAAAGAAGGTACAGCCTGAAAGAGGACATATAAGTTATAATTTCTAAGCTACAGGAGAACAATGCCTTAGTGTTCCACACTTCTCTTCCATTGATCATTGAATTCGGTATGCTGCATTGTCCTTCGATTCAATATTATTCTCCACAGCATTATTTAATAATAGTTCTGGGCAAAATGCAGTTCTGTTTCCAGACTCAACAATCATATTCCACACGGGGGTAACCTCGATTAAATTTTTACACCTCTTGCATATATAATGTGTACCCTTCCTCTCGGACTATTGAAACAATCCACATTCAAAGGGGACACACTTTATACTTTTGAGCACATCAAAATACTTTTGATTTAGTAGTAATTCAATAAGTGAAAGGTAATACCTGAATAAAACCAGTTGCTGACAACATTCGCACAAAATTTTCTCACAAGGTATGTTATCACAGCAACAAGAACCAGAGGAGTTGCAATTCAAGGCACATGCAAATGCATTCTATACACGAGGCACAAAATTTTAAGTCACCCAAATAATTTAGAAAATAAATACATCCAGAATCTCCATAACTGCCCAAAATCGATTTCATATTTCTATGAGTAGGCACATTTCCACATCCTAAAAGATCACCCGTTCTGCCCCCACAACACAATCCACATCACATTGAAGCAGCCTGCTAGGATTGGCAGGATCTGTTGCTAACACAACCCTAAGTCCAGCAGCAACAAATTCTCACCCAGACCGAGGCCAGACCTGTAGAATACCAAACAAAAAAAAAAAAAAAAAAAGACACCCACCACAAACCAACCCACAATGGCGAAGCAAACGGTTAGTAGTCTACTCAGCCTTCATATACGCAAGGCCAACTGGGGATCATTTACCTCTTGTTTTCAACTTACCCATGCTCAAAATCGCCTATAAAACAGTACTCCTAGGCATTTTGACCTTCAAAACTTCCTTTCTAATTGAAACCAAGGCCAATCACCTCCACATAACACCTTATACAAGAACCTACTCCGAAGTAACCACTGCTATTAGAAGTCACCTCGACGCATCCTCTACCCACACACCAAGGCACTCTATAATGATCTTTAAGAGGACATCTAATGAGTCCAACTTCCAGTCCTAAGCAGCTCGGAAAAAACAATGCTCCACGCCATTGCATTCTCCAAGAACCCCACATAATCCTAGATGAGGGTCTAAGAAGAAAGAACACTTCTAAGAAGGAGCTCTGTCCAAGACGAATACGTGTCACACAATGCTTCTAGGACACGTGGGAAAAATCCTGGACATGTTTATAATTTTAAAATAATATTCTTTTTTTTTATAAGTAATTTTAAAAGAATATTCTTAATTCCAGAACCTGACCAATGGAACTTTAAAAAATAAAATAAAGAATAAATACTTTCTTTAAGCAGGGAAAAGATATAATTAAGAAAAATCAAATCAAAGGTTTATGTAGAATTTATAGAAAGTTTGACAATATTAAAAAGGCAAAGATATGAGTAAAAGAGTGTGCATTCAAGTAAGAGAAGAGTTGTCAGATTAGGTACATATGTAGATGTATACATAGATATACAAGCACATGCATAGATATATATCATGTCCTTAATATGTCTTTCTCTATTTGACAAGTTGATTACATTACATCATTTATAACTATACACTTCAATTTACAAATATAACATATTTACTTATTTGTCATATATAGTATTTTTTGTATAAGATATACATTTTATTGTTGTGTCCTTAACTTGCCTGTGTCCTACTTCTTAAAAAAGATTTGTCAGGTCAACATATGTGTGTAGTATCGCATACTTGTCCCGTATCCATAAATATGCTTCTTGGACGACAGAGGAATCACCAAAGATATAAAGACAACTCCAAGTCTCTTGTATATGCATAGAGATATCTACTGGTGGTATATAAAAAGCCAAGCTCCCTTGGCGCCAAGATAAACAAACATTGGTCAATACTTGGAAACATTAATGGCTTATTTCAATGCCAGCAATGCAAGCCCACGCAGGTTGGAATAAAGCCCATTATTCCCTGACTTTAATGGAATTTAGCAAAGCATATGACAGGATGCAATTCTTCAAAAAAAAAAAAAAAAAAAGATGACCGGAAGGAAAGACAAGATTCCAGGAAACTGCTTGTAAATGATTACTCAGTATAACAGTCTCGTACCAAACGCTTAAATGCCTCATTATCCACGTCCATGTTAGAACCGGCAGACATTCGAGCACTTAGAATTTCAGGAACATATTCAGATTCTCTAGCTAAAAGAATTGTGTTCACCGTCCCGTAGTTACCCCTCACAAAAGGTTGGTGCTCATCGTGTTTCCATTCACCATCAACAATAAACTTGTACTGCACGTAACACAAAGAAAACACAAGCATGTAAGCCTTTCAGAATTATAAATGGAGCTAAAAAAAAAAGACATTATGTATTAATGGATTTATGTATTAATGAATTTAGAATAAAATCCTCACTTCAACATTCCTTTATTAAGCAGCAAGTACTTGGAGAGCTTACTTATCAAAAAACAAAATCAAGTACTTGTATAGCTTAAATTATTCAAACAAATTCAAGTAGCTCCCAAACAAACATCAACAGTTGAAAATGTTTGAAAGTGTTGTAGATATGGCTTATTGTAATGACAAACGCAGCGAACCAAAACAAATCACAAATCATTACAGAAAAGTAAACACACCACACAAATAACACAAAGATTTACGTGGTTCAACACAAGTTATGCCTACGTCCACGGTGAAGGTCTCGCGAAAGGTTTCACTATGAAAATCTGGAGATTGCAAGTTTCAACCTCCAAACCCTAGCTCTCGCTCTCACCCTTTTTCCAGTTATTTTCAGTATCTCTCGTTATCTCACTCCAAATCCTAATCGCCCTTATATACCATGACCCACAAGCAAAAACGGGTTAACAAAATTTCAAACAGTCCACGTTGCGACCCAATCCGAAACAAAATTTGGTCCACAATATCACACTTATCAGCTATCATTACTAAGACCGTGCAGATTTCGACTCTTACAGAGTTTTTTCAGCTTCCAAAAAAACATTTCTACTTCAGGATCATTTTGAATTCTGATTGGCAAGAATCTCTTCATTTGCCTACTCATATATCATCTTAACCTCCCATTATTTAATTCCGCAGCCAAAGAAACCCCATGTCTACTCCAAGTCAAAATCTAAATGCTTGTATAATTGTCAGTTACCAAATCGTGTATACATATCACCCTTAATCTACAGATTTAAAAGGTTCAGGTGATGTCTGCCATGATTTGCATATATACCCGATTGAAATTGCATGTTGACTCAAATTAATGACTTTTTAGGCAATGATTCCGGTACCAGGTATCTTTCCTCCAGTATTTATCAAGATCAGATGGCACGTTTGACTTATTTGGACAATTGTATACTCTCTCAGGTCTTTGCCAAGTTTCAACAATTCATTATCTTATTATGGGGACAACTCAAATACGCACATGAAGACTTTGGTGCACAAAAAACATAATCATTGAACAGATACACATTCATAAACACTTTGAGTAACTTCACTGAACCCAAAAGAAAAATTATTCACATTTAATTTTTTTACTACTACAGCATATAGAAGCACTATTGAATTAAGCAAGTTTTTAACTTTGTAACGTTGCATCAAAGTGCAATCAGTAAGGGAACAGTTACCCTGCTTAATAAGCAATATTGCTGTAATATACAGCCAAACACGTGAGATTCATCCCATATCTCATAAATGTGAATTTGTGTCTGATCATGAAATCTATGCAACATTAATGATATTATTCAGTTTTCTTCGGATCATTGATTTGACAACTTCCATCACAAAAATAATAAATTTTATTTGACTAGACCATGACTTGATAATTGTAGCACATTATTAAATCCAGGTATAACTTCATAAAAACACTTCACTTTATGCTGATCGTATATGATTAAAAACCCAACATGCAAATAAAAATGCTCTGCATTATAAACCAGTACTATAAAGTATAAACAGACCTGGTGGTAACCGGGAGGTAAATTGCAAATAGTCTGAAATACGGTGGGGCATCCCTCAACAGGAGTCATTGGCCAGTGATCAGACCACCTTCGCAAATAATCAACTTCCCATTAATTAAAAATCAACCAAAAAACAATAATTTTTTTACCAAACAAAAAGGAACAAAGAGAATGTCACAATGCATCTAGCAGAGGTAACACAAACAGTAAAGCATGAACATTTAAGTATCACTCACCCAGTAAACGAACCACTGAGAAATACACTTCTTCCCCCATAAGGCCACACAAAACGGGTCGGGATTAGCACCGTGCCTATTACTCCACTGGTTTCCCGCGCATAATCCATGCCCACAGGGATCATTCACTCCAATATTAATAAAATTCCCAAATAAATACCACCCCAAACAATAAATTTACAAGTATCAACCTTCTTATGAACTCCACCAAAAAAAGAAAAAATCAGCGATTTTTATACAACCCAGTACACCATTAATCCTCATTCAATTCCCCAAAAAAGAATAAACACTTCGAGATAAATGAATAAATAAACTCCCAGTTTCAACCACCTAAAAACCTCAATTTCAGTTTCCACAGTACCTGAGCACTAAGAGTCGATCCAAAGACGCAATTCTTGAAGCCAAAACATATAACATGAAAGTGATACAAATCTACACTAAATTTGTACTGACAAACTCAACAAGCCCTAGCATGATCAAATTGAAACCCAACGAAGCTTAACACTATATAATCCTTCGATTATAAAAATATGTGCAAATGCAGACCTCAAACTTGGAAGCCCTAAAAAACGAAACTTTACATCAAATTGGTCTTATCGATAATCAGAGTGGGCTTCAAGAATCAGGAAGCATGAGACAAAAACTCTAACCCTAGAAATTTGTTTGCCTTTGTGTCTGTGGTTAAGTTATTTGAAGTTAGGGCAAATTTTGTACGTTTATATGTCCCGGACGCCCCGTACGTCGTACTACACGACGTGACGTGAGATAAGTTAAAATGTACTAGATTTAAATGTAATTTTCTTATTGGTTTCTAAACACAAAATTTGACTTAATTCATGGGCTATGAAATTAAAGTTTGACCTTTTTAATTAAAAATTCACTTTGTTTGAAATAAGTATTTGGTGGGATTTGAAATTTTAAAATGGAATTTCTACCCTTTGGATTGAATATTTATAGAATTTAAAAGAGTCCTGCAAAGTGTCAAATATAACGTGATTTCAAATTTTCTGTTTCTTTATAATATAGTATATTTATTGAAGATTAAAGTTTCAATTATATGTATATTAAATTGTATATGTGTTGTGTGCGTGTGTGTATATATATCCCAGTGCATCTATCTAAGAACTTCTGATGTATTTATAATTGCATCTATAATTAGATTGTGTACCTTTGATCATTAATATTCATCTATTACTTTGACAGGCAATTTGTTCATTAGTGATCAAAACTAATGATCTATGTTATTCCTATAAACAAAAATAAAGATATTCTTATATTTGAGTATCATAAAAGTTGTTGTGAAAAGGAAAAAAAAAAAAAAAGATTATATTTTTATGGAAACAAATATCTATTTAAGTTGAAATTTTAGAGTAACAAGTCATATTTTTATTTGAGTCGGTTTTAAGTTTGGGTAGTCAATAATATCATTTTTCCAATTGAAAATTGAATGTAATTTCATAAGATTTGAAATTCCAAAATAGGTACTCAAATTCCATAAAAATTGGTAAAATTTTATAATAATATTGCGATTATGATAAAATGATAAATATGAAACATTTCCTTTGTAATTAAATTCGAATATATTCCAAACACAAAAATAAAATTGCATTTCAAATCCAATTCAATTTCTTTTACTTTTTCAAAACTAAATCTATAAGAATCTGGTTCCAAACAAAGCCTATTTTTTTATTTCTAAACCTGTTTGAGTTTCCTGCAAAAATTTTATTGAATTTGCACTTATTGAAATTTCCATCGTTATAATAGGAAAAATAATTATTGCACCCAATAATTGCAGTAAATTATTAGACATACTTTTTTAATTGGTCAATTATATAATAAATAAGGAAATGAAACCTCTACTTAATTGTATTTGGTATAAATAATTAATTAAAATTATTCGCAATTTACTGCGAGTGTTCAATATCACTACTCTTGTAATAGCTATGATATCCATTTTTATTTTTTCTAGAATATTTTGTGATAAAGGATATCATTGGTTTGCCTCATTTTGATAGAATACTACATCATCACCATCTGTCTCCCCGGTTGATCATAGGTAACGGGAATAAATTTTTTTAATTATTATTTGGTCTTCGGTTGTAATATTTTATGTTATCATACTTTGTTATTTTATCAAATTTACATTTCATATATTATGTATAGTTTGTTTTATAAATATATATATTTTTACCAAGTTTTCATTTATTAGTTATTGTATAATTTTTGGATCAATGATTGATTCAATATTTTTATATCTCATGAAGCCTAGTTAAAAAAAAAACTAAAATGGCATAATACCGTTAGATACTCAATTAAGTATTTATATTAATAATTTAGCTATGTTATGCGTATTTTGCTAAAACTACATATTAATAAATGAGAACAAATATAGAATTTTTTTAAGTAAAAAAGTAAAATGTCTAAAAATATATATACGCGACTTTATAAATGATCTACTACTATATTTGTAGAACCATGAATTCACCTCATTTTTTTTCAATTTGATCTAATTTTGAGATGTGGTAAAAAGATAATAATTATTGTAATATATAAACGAATAATATACAACTATTACCATGTTTTTAAAATGATTTTCTATTAACATTAGCGTTCGGCTCACCTTCTGTTTTTTTTCTTTTTTTTTTTGGGTGAAAGGTACTGGAATACAAAGGTTTATGTAGAATTGACGCGCATACAAAGAATATCTTCACAGTATAAAAATCTACCATAAATACAGGAAACTTCGAAATATGGAATATAAGTAAATAATAATAATAATGACTACTTTAATACCCGACTTAAAATATACGGAGATAAAAATATAACGTGTTATTCTAAAATTCCAATTTAAATAGACATCATTACTACCTATCCTTATCTTTTCAATTTTCCATAATAGTATATCTTTTCTTCTTCGTTTTCGCAATAACTTTCATAGCACTCAAATATAAGAATTTGATTTGTACAAAATATAAAACAAAAACTACAATGTTTTACAATTTTCAAAACTTTGCAATAATTCTTTAAGTTCCTAGCTTTATTTTTGTTTCAGTGAGTCACATGGATCATTAGTTTTGATCATTATATAATGAACAAATGTCTATCAAAGTAATAAATGAATATTAATGATCAAAGACACCATACATAACCTAATTATATATAGGAAATGCAATATTAAGTATCTTAACAGTTCTCAGAAATATGCAACATGATATGTATATATATATATATATATAACAAGTATACAATTTAATATATATGGTGGTTAAAACTTTAATCTCCAACAAAAATACTATATCAAGATGAAATATAGAAAATGGATTACAACTTTTCTGATAATTAATTACCTTTTATTTTAAAATGGGTCCCATTATATTTGACATAAAGGTAGTCACATAAACTAAATGAAATAGTCGATTTTTATTTATCTAGGTAAGTACCAGGACCTAAAAAAAAAAACATACTTAAATTTGACAGATAAATGTTTATTATTAGGGCTAAAATCATAAAACTCCCATTAATTTCAATTTTTTATACATCATTTTGTTTATAAAAACCTTAACACTATTACAAAGTTATCTTATTGCCCTAATTATGTCAATGAGGTTAAAGGCTTGTTAAATGATTAAATTACCCTTACGATATACCGCTTTATTTAAAAAATTAAAAACTAATATTTTACAAATTACAACCGAAACAAACCTAAATATTATAATTCAGGTCAAGTTAAATTATGAATATTACATTATGTATTAAAATATCATTTAGTTCATTTAATTTAAATTTTAAAAAAATCTTTTATAGAATTCCCAATATGGTAAACAAAAAACAAAATAAGTCATTAAAATATCATTATTTATTTTACAATTTTTAAAAAATTGAATCATTTTCATACTTCAAAAAATTGACTATTTACAACACAATTTAAATATAAAAATCGACAACAATTAGGATAGCTAATATTTTTTTAAAATATGTTTAAATGGCTAGTAGATTTTGGATAACCACTAATTTTTGAATAAAATTCTAATTAGAAAGTTAAGTTCTTATTTTGAAAAATGGTATATATAAAAAAACGATTGATTCAAAACTCAATTGGAATAATATTTCGAGAGTTAAGTTCATTGTATTTCTAAAAAATAAATAAAATGAAAGGCCACATTATGTTTAAAAAGAAAATGCCTAATTTTCAGTGGATGAGTAAATGCCCCTTCTATTATTTAAAAATGCTTAGGGGTATTTTTGGAATAGCAGTGCTAGACTTCACGAAAAAATAACAATATTTAGGTTCTCATTGGTGAACATGTAAAGGGGTTTTTATGCACCCCAACCCCATCCCTTGGCAAGAAAAATGTAGCGCCGACGTTATTAGTTCATATCACGACATACATCTTATTGGTGATAACCTATGAAAATGAGGTTAGAATTCATGCCCAAATCAAATATTTTTATTTATAGTAATTTTATATCATAACAATAGTAGAAGGGATTGCATTGCATTGCATGACTGTTGATTATAAACTCAAGTGAACAATATGGTGTTTACTTTATTTATATTTTATTAATATTATTTGAATTTACATTATTTGAGGAAAAAAAAAACAATGCAAGTTGATACTTTTAGACATTGGAGCAAACTAAAAAAAAAGCTATGTTCACATAAAAGACTATAAACACGAATTTGGGTTTTAATTCATGATTCCAAAAATTTTGAAAACCCATTTCCCATATTATCAATTAACTTTATTGTTAATCGTGATTTATTTTACTGTATTTAATGTTGATATGATGTACATTGTATTTAATCACTTGCTTATTGCTGTTATTATGTCCATTGGTTTGATATTCATATCAAAGCTAGATGTTAAAAAATTTATTAGATTACTCAGTAATCTTTACTTTAATAGGACCATATGGACACGTATGCGGATGCAAGAGTTATCGCCATTATGTATATCGTAATTCATTGTCCTTATCTTAATTAGTTGTTTGAGTTAGATTAATTAATGAAATTATACACAGCGTGTCCTCTAGATCAATGGCTAACCCGAAGAGTAATGCAAGAATAGTAAATAATCATGAATACAATATAAGTGAAGGGTAGAAAAAACCCCTAATGTATAATCCATGTAATATTTTTATCCCTATTTGAAAAGGCGTGTTAATAACTCCCTTATTCTTTTGTGCGAAAACACTCCTCAAACATAAATCTGACATAAAACAATTTTGTAATGCCCATTTTGTCCTTTTACTTTTCCGAAAATGTCCAATGGAGTGTGTATGCTAACAATTTCATAATATAAGGTGTTATGTGCACATTCAACCTACTTTTAAGGATTTTTTTTCTCACATTTCTAAAAAAAATTAAAAATTTAATCTCTATATATTTTCCCTAACATTGTATTGTAATACCATGTAACTTTAAAGAAATTATTAAATGGGTTTTATTTAATTAAATTGGATTAAATTAATTTTTAATTTATTTAATGTTATTTAATTATCTATGTGCATTTAAATTGTTTAATGTTGAAAATTATTGTATGATTGTTATTTGGAATATTTAGTATGTTGTTGATGTGCATGTATATATGGATGTAGTTATGTTGTTAGCGAGTAATGATAGGGAACCGAAAAGGAATCACCGAATTAGTATCGAATTTGACGTGATTGATCATTCTTAT